GGTTAATAGTTGCTTTTGTTCCCATATCCCGCGAAACACTTTTGCTTGACATGGTAGCAATATGTTATGTAGCTAAAACTCCACGATAGCCTTTCTGTGTATCAAAAAGTTTTGAGGTTATGCTTGGACAGTCAAGTGAATTAGAAAGTTTTAAGGATTGACACCCAAGTTTTGAAAGGTTATTTTGGACTATATTTTCCAGACTCTGCACAATAACTTTTCCAATAACTAATTAACACATAGTACTCTTTCAACTGAGTATTGTTTAATTCTTGTTAAGCTGTAAGGATCTGTTACTGAAACAATGACACAGAGTCTGAGGATACCTTAAAAATATTTGGTTTTATTTAGCAGAAGATCTTGCAGCTTGGAGCCTGCTTGTTCTGATGTACATGATAAAATGAGCAGCAGTTCTTAAAAGTTGATGCTAAATAAAACATATTGGTCTTTAAGATGCCACAAGACTCTTTTCTTTTCAGTACACCTTTTTTTTTGGTAACATCTGTGTTAGGTTTCCACCCTGTATCTCCCTTTTTCTGTTTTATGACAACCAGTGACTAACAACTGGGTGTACTATGTGAAGAAGGTTGTTGATCTAAGAGCTGTTATTGATTTCATTGAGGGTATGAGGCCAGACTGTTAAGAATGCTTGTGAATGTTATATGGGAAGGTACCGTACATCTGTGTAAAATCCTGTGTAGGAGATTGGGAGTGGCTTAACCTTTATGAAGCAATTAGATCATAATATTTTGACTTCCACATTCATGCCCTGTGAACCGGTTAGAGAAGCCATTTTAGAAAACAACTTCCAGAATCCCCCAGTTAACATGACCTCTGACTAAGGAATTCTACAAGTTATAATCTGAAAGCAACTTTCCAAGCTCTGGTATTTTGTTTTATAGATACATGCTATTAGGTCCTATTAATTTGTTGCCATCCTTCTGTTTGCAGAGATAAACTGTTTATTCATTTTGAGACTAATACAGTAGATATTCTATTTGCTTTTGAACAAACATTACAAGAGCAAATGCATCTTTTTTCACTGTAGAAATCATAGGGATAAACTGTTACCAGTTGCTAAGTGCGTATTATTTAGCCCTGCATTTCTGCAAACGTGTGGTCTGGGGCCCGCATTGGAATTGGTGGATAGTCTCAATTTTCAGTTGCCACTGATCCCAGCTCTTCCCTGCCACTCAGAAAGCTTGAGAGATCTCATGACTTCTCTCAGCATGAAGGTAGTCAGAAACAGTGAGAGTCACTTTTCATGCTTACATTCTTCTTAAAGCATTGCAGTGTTTTATTTTTTTTCTAAATTCAGCACAATGGCTATAGCGATGCAAGAGAAGTTCTTGATTTTGTGTGGGATATTGGACAGCAGTGTGTAGCCACCAGATGCCATGATTAAATTTATGTTCAGTATTAGCACTGACTTGTATAGAAGACTGGCTGAAAGAGCAGATATATCTCCTGAACAGAGAAATCTACAAATTCCTGCAAGTCCAAAAATTGCTTTGTATTGGCATTTCTAAGGGGCTGTGAGTTTACTTCTTGAGGAAAGACTGTACTGTATATAAGTGGAAATTTTATAAAGTGTAAATGATTGAGAGAGGGGAAATTGGACTTAGTTGAAATGTTCAGTTCCCAGAGCAATATAATCTTTTATAAAAACGAATAGAGCAGTGACCTTACTCATTTTAATTCTTGAATTGCAGGCCTGCCATTTTTATAATGCCAAAATATAATACTTAAACCTCAATATGTGCCTTGTAGGGTAACATAAAATGCAGTTGACTAGCAGAGCTACCATTCCAGTTTGCTAACATTCTTGTTTTCTTTCTTTTTTCAAATGTCCCATTGCATGAAACATAATAAAGCATGTGAAAAAATAAATATGCAATGGATTTGTGGCCTGGATGACTTAAAATCAGCACCCCTCTAATGGTTTCTTTGACCTATAGTGTAGATTTGAATTAAATTTAAAAATCATAAAAGTAATGATTTAAATCAGTGTTATTTTTCAAAAATCATTGTTTTTATCCACCCTATTGACTGATAACAATGGTTAAAATTATTAAAGCTCATAGCTGTTGGAATGTATCTGCTGGTATCCTATTTATGGCAATGTAACATAAAACTACAGTGGTGCCTCGCATTACGACATTAATTCATTCCAGCAAAATCACTGTAGAACGAAAACGTCGTAATGCGAAAAGAAAAAACCCATCGAAACGCATTAAAACCTGTTTAATGCTTTCCAAAGGGCTTGAAACTCACCGTCCAGCGAAGATCCTCCATAGGGTGGCCATTTTCGGTGCCTGTAATGCGAGGAATCTGTCCCAGAAAACAGCGGGGGGCCATTTTGTTTACCCGGTGGCCATTTTGAAACTGCCGATCAGCTGTTGGAAAATCATCATTTTGCGAAGAATCGGTTCTCGAAGCAGGGAACCAATCATCGCAAAGCGAAATTCCCCCATAGGAAACATTGTTTTGCGACCGCAAAAACTTCGTCGTAATGCGATTTTGGTTGCGATTGCAAAAGTGATCGCAAAAAACTTCGTCGTAATGCGATTTCGGCGTTAAACGGGGCAATCGTAAAGCGAGGCACCACTGTGCTCTGGCGGAAATGTGCTGGGTGTTAATGAGGAATTGTAGCAACAAGAAATTGCACAGTGTTGCAGGGATAGCACTTCTGCCTCGGTGCTAGCACAGCTACTACAGGCACAACCTTGAGTTACTTGGGCATTGGTGCACAATAGGATTTTGGCCATCATGGTTTAGACAGATGAGAGAGAAAAAAACATTGATTTTTGGATTTGTATATTGTGCATGAGGGCAGAAATGGGAAAAGTTATTTTGGGGTGTTATAACTACACTTCAGCCAGCACTGCCAGTAGCTGTGCTAGCTATGGAATTCTGGGAGTTGTTTAGAAAAATCACTTTCTTCATCTTTGTAGATGCCGTTAAAAGCTCATGCAGATATGATGCCCTTCAAACCATAAATTAGCAAACTGAGTGCGATTCGTTAGTGCATGCCATTCTTTTGCATTACCCAAAGCAATTCTGTTCTTTCCTCACTGGCGTTAAGCATTGCTTCTATCAGTTGAACTTCAGTTATCGTAAGGTGATAGTGGGAGTTCTTTTGTAGATGATGAGGGAGTATGTGTTGACTGATTGCTAGTTTGCAAACTGGTTTTGTGGAGGAAACTAGTTTTATGTTTGTGGTGAGCCACTGGTGAGAGAGTTTTTTTTCAGAAGCTGGTGCACACATAGTAGAAAAAGTAAACAAACCTGTGAAACTTTATCATTATAAATTCTTGGGAGTGAGGCTAGCTACAAATTATATAAATAAAAGGACCATTAATGATTTTGCTACACAATTTGTTGCAGTGCCAAATTTTCATAGAATCATAGAATAATGAAGTTGGAAGGCGCCTATAAGGCTATCAAGTTGAACCCCCTGCTCAAAGTCTGTTCTTGTGTGTGTATCATTGCTCTCCAGTGTCTGACAAGACAGTCAGTGGCACGGGATGCTGTTCTAGTATCATTCTGAGGAGTGTCAGTCAATGATCTTTTATAAGATAGTACTAAAATGTGTCAATTACATTTTAGTGATGAATAAAGTAATGCATATTGAAAAAGGTTTCTTAGTTTAAGAATACATTAAAATTCAATATAGCTTTAGATATAGCAAGTTTGCGCATATTTTGAGATGCGTGGGTACCTGCCGTTAGTGGAACAGAAAGATTACCTGTAAGTCAAGGGTCCACTGTATAGCAAGTTTGCATATATTTTGAGATGCGTGGGTATCTGCTGTTAGTGGAACAGAAAGATGACATTGTTTTGAGAATGTTATGCTGGAGTTAGTAAAACAGATTTGAGTTGAAAGTGTAATGAGAATTATGCCATTACATAATCAATATTTAAATATGAGCTTGAGGTGTGATTCTTTCATTGCTTGGTATAGATGTTTAGATTTTAATTAGGCTTTTTCTGTTTTCTTTATTATAGATCAGCTTGAACGTGTCTTTTTACGTCTTGGCCATGCAGAAACAGATGAACAATTGCAGAATATTATATCCAAGTTCCTACCCCCCGTTCTTCTGAAACTTTCCAGTACACAGGAGGGAGTACGCAAGAAGGTATGTAAAGCTGTGTTGGTGCAGAAGTGTAGACAAACACAGAATGTTTAAAATCATCTTACACTGCAGTTCGGTATGTCAAGTCAATTCTGATTTATGGTGACACTTCTCAGGGTTTCTCAGGTAGAGATTACTCAGAAATGTTTTACCTTTCCTTTCTTCTGGAGGGCACCCTAGACTGTGCAGCTTGCCCAAGGCCATACAGGCTGGCTCTTCCCCTAGGAAGCACAGTGAGGAATTGAACTCCCAACCTCTACTGTAGTTCTGTAGCCAGATAACTAAACTACTGAGCTATCCAGCTAGCTTGTGCAGCTAGCTTGTGCAGTTTAGTGCATTTCTGTAGAATTTGACCATATATAATAAATTGATGTTTTTAATAATTTTCCTTAAAAACCTAGGAATTATTAGTGCATTACACTGTACATTTCTTACTTCAGGAAGTATAACTGAGAAATCTAATTCAGTATAATCAGAGAGGATTATATTCTCTCTCCCAGGTGATGGAACTGCTAGTCCACCTAAATAAGCGTATCAAAAGTCGTCCCAAAATCCAGCTTCCAGTGGAGACTCTTCTTGTCCAATACCAGGATCCTTCTGCAGTGTCATTTGTTACAGTAAGTGCCTTCTTTCTAAAAACATTTTCTTATGAAATATAAATCACTATTTGCTTCTCTCCTGACGATCTGCTACAGTAAAGAACTGTATCCAGTTTTGTCATAATTTTGCTTTTTCTAAAACTCAATGCTATAATCCAGCTTTACACTATCAAGAATGCAATGCAGGATTGCCTACTTGCACGTGTTGCCCTTATGCAAGCAGAGATCCATGCTTCAGACAGCTTGAGCGAAGAAGTTCTAGATAACCCCTTGTGCAAACTCTGTAAATGTCAGACCATTCATGCTGTGAGTCGTTTCCCCGAGGCCAAATAATTTCAGTATTGAAATAGATTTGCAGGGCATTGAAGAGAATTATCTAGTTATTCAACCTACTTTTCCTTCTAGAATTGGACTAATTGGTTTATGAAAAGAGTGATATTAGTTCACAGCTGTCTCTCCTTTTACTATCTGGGCATCATTTTTGGTCATAGTGCCTACAAATTATTTCTGTTTAGATAAAAAAATTCTGTATACAGTGGTGCCTCGCTTAGCGATGTTTCCTATGGCGATTTTCGCTTAAGGATGGCAATTCATTCCTATTGGAACGGATTATCCGGTTTTCAGTGCATTTCAATGGGAAATCGTGTTTCGCTTAGCGATGGTTGGGACCATGTTTCGCAAAGCGATTAAATTTTGGGTCCCCTGTTTCGCTTAACGATGGTTTAAATAGCCTCATATTTACTGTTTTTTAAATATTTTTCTGTTATTTATAAAGTTAAAGATTACTGTTTAAAATGTTTGAAATCATAAAGTGCACTTAGTAAACCCTTTGTTAACCAAATTTGACTTTGTTCTGACTCTTTTTTAATTTGTTGTTGTATTTTTCCCCCATTGAGATGCATTGAATAGGTTCAATGCATTTCAATTGGGGAACCGCGTTTCGCTTAGCGATGGTTGGGACCATGTTTCGCAAAGCGATTAAATTTTGGGTCCCCTGTTTCGCTTAACGATGGTTTAAATAGCCTCATATTTACTGTTTTTTAAATATTTTTCTGTTATTTATAAAGTTAAAGATTACTGTTTAAAATGTTTGAAATCATAAAGTGCACTTAGTAAACCCTTTGTTAACCAAATTTGACTTTGTTCTGACTCTTTTTTAATTTGTTGTTGTATTTTTCCCCCATTGAGATGCATTGAATAGGTTCAATGCATTTCAATTGGGGAACCGCGTTTCGCTTAGCGATGAAATCGCTTAGCAGCGCTTTTTTCGGAACGAATTAACATCGTTAAGTGAGGCACCACTGTACTAGAATTTCTAATTGTACAATCTCTGCCCTTGAAGATTGGTAATAAAAAAGGATTATACCAGTTTATAAGATGATATAGGATACTATATGGATTATTATCACTTTTGAACTTCTGTGTAATCAATAGTATGGCAAAGCTGTGTTGACAGATTTTTGTCCAATATGTGCTTGTCTTATAGTTATATATTATTATATGCTTCAGCAGTTGAAGCAAAGACTTTGAATTATATCTAGAAGACAATGCTGTCACTGGAGTGGATGTTATATTCTCTTGGGACTCCACATAAATTAGGAAATAGGTTTCTACACTGATATTCATAGAGTGCATGTCAGTGGCATTTACCAAGAATAAACTTCTTGCATTGTTTCTTTTATATTTATGGAGTTGCCTTAGGGTGTTCTTCGGGAATAATGCTGTGTTGATTTATCTTGTACTTCTGCAGAATTTTACAATTATATATGTTAAGATGGGCTACCCTCGTTTGCCTGTGGAAAAGCAGTGTGAGCTGGCCCCCACTCTCCTAACTGCAATGGAAGGAAAACCTCAGCCTCAGCAAGACAGGTAGGATGTCTTGAGTATACAGATTCTTTTTTCCTCACCGGAAACGAAGAAGGCTAGGCTAGAATTGTCTTTTGAGATGGCTTGCTTTTCTCTGGTAGGGTCTTTCTTATTTTCTTTTAAACAACATCCGAATTCCTCTGTTTTTCAGACACTAATGTCTGTGTATGAAACATTAAAACTGATTTAATTTTTTCCTTCTTATTCCGTAAGACTGTTGAGCTGGTGGCTGCCTTTGCATGTATTTGATAAATTGGAATTATTGGGAAAATCCAGACTTACTATTTAAATGGTGTGTGTTTAGCATTTTTGTGCCAGCGACTAATTTGTCCAAGAGCAAAGCATTTTATATGAACCAGGATTCCTCCTTTGTTGCGTTCTTTACAAGCTAGAATAACAAATGTTGAAGGCTTATTCTTAGCTTTATGATCCCCTGTTTTGATTGTGAGTTGTAGTCGCAATGCCCTAGTCTGTATAGTATGGTAGGTTTTTGGATTCTGGTTCATTCACCCTTGAGGAGGGTGCAAGTTCCAGTGGTCTTCCTCATTCAAGCACAGATAAAACTGGAATGTTGCCTAAGAGTTTGGAAAAAAGAACTTTATGGTTACAGAGACAAACAGTAGACCGATTTATTTCCAGAACAAGATATAAAACCTTGTTTTGAAAGAGAGCTGCTGCTTGTGTCAACATGCAGCAATTCTTTATTTTTTTAAAGCCAGATTTTGGGGTATTAGTCCCCAGAATGGATATGGAGGGCCTGATGCCATTTGAGGGCTGCATAATTGCTAGTCCCAGTATAGTTGTTCCCACTGGTGGGAGGACTTAAATGGGAGTGAAGGGACTGCATGGAACTGCAGACAGCTCACAACTGGTAAGATATGATTCTCTGGGATTTTGGCTTATGATTGCATACAAACATATCCTGTCTGTCCTGGTGCTTCAAGTTGAGTAGTATAATATTTTGTTCCATTTGTCTACTTGTATCCTTACATGTTAAAAAAATCATTATTTTGGTTCTGACTTGAGGAATTAGTAATCATAAGAGTTAGTTGATTACACTAAAATGATATGTGCATGATTCCCTTTAGGGCTAGATGTTAAGCAGGCAGAGAAAGTGAAATCTCCATGCAGCTATTGTTGTCTGTAATTCCAATTTATAGGTTCAGAAAATGTAGATGTATATTTACATAAATAGATATTAGAAAAAATATCTTGAAACTCAGAATTTTTTTGTTACATGAATTTGAATTTACATAAATGGTAGCAGCGACTCATAAGAAAATGGAACAAGGAGAACTGATCAGTGAAGGTTTTACATGCTCACGGGACTGTAATTTGTCTGGGTTTTTTTTGTGAATATTTCTGCTAATTTCTTACTGTTTCATTGAAATAGTTGCAGTAACTCTTATTGCTTTTCAGCCTAATGCACCTTCTAATACCAACCCTTTTCCACATGAAATACCCTGTCGAACCTTTGAAAGCAGCTTCTCCATTTAATCTTGCTGAAAAACCAAAGACTGTACAGCTGCTATTGGATTTTATGTTGGATGTTCTCCTTATGCCTTATGGGTAAGTAACTAATCAAACACCATGTTGTCTCACATGTTGTTGGTTCATGTCTGCTACTGTTGAGCTCAAAAAAAAGGGAAGGAGGGATTTTATTTTTAAACCTGTGCTCTCTTGAAAATGCAGCTGCTGAAGTTCCCTGACTATTATTGTAGACCTTTAAGTTTTTCTTGAACTAGGTCAAAACTGTAAACTGGGACCCTGAGACCCTGTTTCCATCCTCAGATCAGTTGTGAACTGCTGGGGCAAATCAGCACTGATTCTTAAGATAACATATTGTGAAGAAGCTTGTGGAAATGCTTAAAAGACATGATCTGGGCTTGTATTTGGTTCTGATTTGAGGAATTAGTCATTAGATTTAGCTGATTACACTAAAACGATAAGGGCATGGTTCCCTTTAGAGCTAGTTTTAAGCAGGCAGAGGAAGTGAAATCTGTGTGGCAGCTGCTGTTGTCCAATCCTGGATTAAGGGAAGTCTTTTCCCCCCAGTACTAACTACGTTTTGGATCTGTACCACTGTGATACCACAGTTGTTTTATTTATGTGCAGATATATAGAGAGATTTTAAGAGACATGTGTTTCTATGAATTTGATTATAAGCTTTATTAAATTTAAGTTTAAAACCTGTTGTGTTTATTTTGTGTCAGGTAGCTCAACTAATTGTGTTCTTCATATGTCTTGATAGACTTGTGTATAAGTTTTGGCCTGTTCAGGTATTGCCTTCACAGGTAGCTTCACCGTAGTTTTAGAGGCCTTGCTCTTCTTCTCTCTGTTGTCCATTTAGACACGTACAAAACAATGCATCCGCAGAGGGAGTGGTTCCTGCTCATGTTCAGACCCTGTGTGAGCAGAAACATGTACTTCCAGATGCATCAATTTCCTTCTATAGATGGCAGCAACAAAGAGCCAAGGAGCCAGATGCTCCCCTCAAAGTGGGCGGTAACATCAAAAGAAAACTTTTACTAAGCAAACGTTTTCCAGTCTGTATTTTATGACTTCTCGTATTATTTTTTTCTGTTGTACTTGATATTGGGGTATATTTAGATTTCTGTAGGTGTTGTTTGTAAACATTTTACAAGATATATGTAAGAAGTCCTTTTTTTGCATAGCTACAGAGTTGTGATGTTTTGTGCACATAAGAACAAATTCAGTTGAAAGTGTTGAAGGAGGGAGCAATTGGCTTGTTTTTCTTTCCTTTTTTGTGACATCATTGCAGGTACCTAGAGGATATATAGTTCAGTTGTCATATGACACAGGTGGACAAAATTACTTTTAAAAGTGATTCACTGGTTAGATGCCTGGGTCTGACTAGCTTGTTAGTCTGGCACACAGCCTGTGATAGTACAGTTGATCCATTCACCAGTTCACTAGCCCTGACACTACCGGATTTCATATCTCTCTTCTGTATCTTATTTCTTTGTCCCCCTTTCCTTAGATATGTATTGAACGAATCCCAGAGCCGCCAAAGTGTGCCAGCAGGGCAAGGGTCTTCTTCATCAAGCAGTTCTGGAGGCTCTGGGATCCCTCAGCCTCCCCCAGGAATGAGCTTTTATGCAGCCAAGCGGGTGATTGGTGATAGCCCGTGGACACCTGAACAGCTGGAACAGGTAGAGCAAAATTAATTTGCAAAGTAAAAGAGTAACAGGAGTGTGTGTGTGTGTTGAAAATTTGCCATATGGATATATTGTTGCACTTCTCTCAAATCAAATTCTTCCCCCTGCCATACTTCCCATTAGATGTTATGCCTGAAGCCTGAACTTCTTGTGATTCTGTTCAAGCAGGTGATAATATAAAATGCAACATTTTGGAAATGCAGAAACGAGAAAAGGATTGCCAGATTAGTTCAGTGGTTTAGGTATTTGGCTGAGGAGCCAGAGGCTGGGAGTCTGATTCCCCACTGTGCCTGCTTGACAGGGGGTGGACTTGTTGATCCATAGGGTCCCTTCCAGCTCTGCAGTTCTAAGATGATGATGGTTGTTGTTGTTGTTACTTGTACAATGTACATCTATGGTGGGAAGGAGAAAAGTACCAGCAACCATATGTATATTGTTACAGGAGAAAAAGTGCAGAAATACTCTTGTTGTACCTTGTCAATTACCAAAGTGCATGTTTGGGGAATTTGCAATTTAACTCTCTAAAATACAGCCTGTGATGAACTGACCATTCACTTAGATCTGATTTTATTATCCTGTATTTATAATAACTGCATCCACTCTTATTTTTGCTATTTCTAAGGTCACATCTCTAACAAATATGCGTGACAAATGAACTCTTTTCCACTTTTTCTGCTTTGCTTGGCAGTGTAAATTGGGCATTGTGAAATTTATTGAAGCTGAGCAGGTGCCTGAACTTGAAGCTGTCATACATTTGGTCATCGCCTCCAGTGACACACGGCACAGTGTAGCCACTGCAGCAGACCTTGAGCTTAAAAGCAAGCAAAGGTAATGGTTTATAATTTTAAATTAATAATTTCATAGTTTTAAAATGTTGAACTTTTAAAAACGTTGAATAGGTATTAGAATTGCTTCCTCAATTCTCCTTGTTTATTACAAAATAATTTCGCTTAGTATTGTTTTGTGCTTTGGCATTTGCCTTTGGTGATATTGTTGCCTTGTAGTTTTCCCACACACATTCCATCTTCCACCACTGTGTTATTCTCCTCGACCCATGTATTCTAGAGATGATAGAAAAATCTGTATTAGATTGGCTGGCGAAAGTCATCTTCTGTCTCTTTAGTCCTGACAGAAAGGTTGTTTCCTGCAATATGCCGTGCTTAATTAGTAATTTTGGGAAAGATTGGAGTTGTTATACTTACATAACAGAAGAGCTGTTTTCCTTTTAGAGTTGTGCTGAGGTATGTTTTCGGCAGAATGGGCAGTCTGAACCTTTATTGTTTATTATTTTCTTCTATTTATAAACTTCTGTACTGAAAGTATATGCAATTTCAGTGTTATTTTCGGAGACTATGGAGGGCAGATTACTTTGCATGTGCTATTTGTATCCTGACCTTCCTATCTATCCCATGTATACCTCTGTCTTCTCCCAGTGAGAGGAAGACTGAATAAGTTCTTTGCATATTTAGCCAAATATGAGGAAGAATGGGCCAGAGCACCCAAAAACACTCAGCCTGAGCTGATTTGAGAGATCTTGCTTGCTCTTCTGGGGCTTAGGGACTAATTCCATGGATGTTGCCATTTGTGCTTCTGGTTACGTGATGGTGGCTTCTAAGAATGTGTCATGTGAGCTTTGAATTTGTGAATAAGTATTACACCAAATAGATCCTAGTGTGACAGAGACAAATTTTCTCTCATTAAATCAACACACTTCTATTACACCAAATAGATCCTAGTGTGACAGTTAAATCAACAGTTAAATCTCATTAAATCAACACACTTGGGATCTCTCTACAATCTGTGCAACATGGCAAAAGGAGTGCACAGCAATTTCTGGCTAAAAGGTAGTGTGATCTTTAGACCTCTGGAATTTAACGATATGTCATTATCATGAAAGTAGAGATGTGTTAGAAGCTCTGTTGAGATGTGTTGAGGAAGCTATGTTCATTAACATGTGGAGGGTCACTTGCTTCACATGATAATAAAGTCTGAAGAGAAGTTCTAGCTCGTGCACAGAGCCTACATGCAAGCAGCAGCTTATGTCCAGATTCCTCCATCGTTGTCTGAAGAAAGTGATTTCAAATGAGAATGTGTTAGGCAATCTCTGTTAAGCATATTAATTAAAACCAGATTCATTAACACCTTAATATGGCTACATCCTTCCACACATCTCAGTTTACTGGTAGTTGGTTGATAGCAGGCGTTGTTGTATTTAGAACAGACCTGTTAAAATCAGTGATATGTCACAGTCTGGAAAAGCACACTTCCATAAAAGAGTTACTTTTTCCAAGGTAAGATATAGCTTTTCATTTGAAAGAAATCACAGTTCACGTTGATGACAAAACAACTTCTTCAAATAACAAGAAGTTTGAAAATATGATATTTATCCTCTTTCATTCAGAGAGAGAAAACTGTTAAATTTGTAACTGGGACAGTAACTAAGCTTACGTAATTTAAAATAGAAATACAATACAATATAAATATTGCAAATAAAATATTTAATTACTATAGTGATTCGATGTGTTTAGTGAGATCAGGAAACCCACTTTGATTTCAAGAGTTTTTGTTGAAGATTTTAAGATGTTCCAAAAAATCATTGAAAGAATTACGGTAAAACTTCAGTAATATAAATAACATGTGAGGTAGGAATTAGATTAAAAATACTTGTTATTTGAGTATATATGTGTTTAATTCAATGCATAGAAAATTGAGCAGAGCATGTAGAATTCTAAAAATGAAAAGCATACTTCATACATAAAGAGCAAAGTATGCATCCATTCTTTTTATATACTTTTTGAGAAAAATCATACAACTTGAAATATATTAATATTAAATAAAACCAACCAGCAGGGCCTTATGCCGAATTGCAAACACTTTTAGAAGGTTCCTTTAGTTTCAGTGGGTTTTGCCATATTGCATTTGGAAATCCTAATGTAGAAATATGTACCTTACATTTCCTTGAGTCTGCGGAACTAGATGGAGGGGCTAAATCTTGGCCACAGTCTTTTTATACATAAGCATATTCTGCTTCAGCTCCAATGTGACAGTAGAACAATTATTCCATGGTTGCTTCAGCACTGCAGTTTGTAAACTGGGTTTGTGAGTGGCAGAGAGGATATTGGTATTTACCATTTTTAGGCATAAATGTTCCTGTGGTACTTGAGTAAAATAAGAGCCAAAAAGTACTTTGGCTGTATAACAATGAAATAGAAAATATATGGATCACATAGTTGCGGATCACCTAGCAAGGAAGCAGATAGGTAGCTGACTTATAAGTTCCAATAACTGGTTTTCTCTTAATTTGTGAGTGCATGTCTTAATATATTTCAGTTAGTTGATTACTAAAAATGTGTATCCTGCCAGCAGCCAGTTAGATCTATTCAGTCATGTAAAATAATTTCACAGCCTTACCATATATGTATTCTTCTAATATTCTTTAGTTTAATTGACTGGAACAATCCAGCCATCATCAACAAGCTGTACAAAGTGTACCTGGGGGACATACCACTAAAAACAAAAGAGGTGAGATTTGCTTCCCAAAATCTGTGTGTGTTCTTGATATCTCCTACACCTTTTATTTTGTTTTAAACTTGTGAAATTTTATTTTATATGCTGTTATAGTGTGTGAGGAACAACTATGCTTGCCAGAGTTATTTACTACTCATGTTTTTGCTTTTTTCACTAACTTGAAAGCAATGAAGATACAACCTGGAGGTTTCTTTCCCATATAGCATCCAGTTGTGTAACTGAATGACAGTCTTGCTCTATTCTGCAGCAACTTTATATAGTTCAGCAGGACAGACATTCCACATTCCTACCTGCTTCTGGCTCTTGTAATGCTCAAACCAGGGACTAAATTTTAAAACAAATACATACATTTCTGGTTTAGAAAAAACTTAGGTATTTTAGGCATTATTATTCTTTCAATTTAATTCTAAGTAACAGTGTTCTTCACACATACTCTTTACTTAAGATATGTTGACAAGAAAATATAGGTTAAGCAATGAAATGCTATGCAACCCACATGCATTGCTACAAGGAGAACATTAATTTCTTCCTGCTCTTCTTAAGAATTGTCACATTCTCAGACAGGCCAAAGAAAGCTTGGAATTCATGAGATACTTTTGCATGTATGTCTTTTAAAAAGATTTAATAGAAAGTGCACATGATGGTTCCTTTTCTTCAAACCATCATTAATTTGTGAAATTCAGCCACAAGATGTGATTATAGCCACTCATTTAGATGACTTTCCATGGAGATTAGACACATATAGAGGATATGTGTCAACAGTTGTTGATTAGTATATCTGAATGGATCTTCAAGGTTCACATTGAGTTTACCTCTGAATTCCAGATGTAGGGAACAAAAATGGATTACTCTTGCCTTCATAGCATTCTTATGAGATCCCCTTAAGGTGACACCATACTAAATAGACTTTAGGTCTGATCCAGTAAACCTCCTTTTACTATTTTAAATTGATTTTCAGCCTCATCATCCCAACAGAATTCAGTTACGTCCATTAGTCTGCTCCTTGAACAGCCACTTAGGAAACAATTGTTAATCATTGGGCCATATGTTAAATCTCTAGGAGCTTAATTTGCGGGAGAAGATGAGATTTGGGGAGTTTCATTTAGAGTTTAATTTTATCTGCTTTCAAGCTTTCAGGATTTGTCTTTGCATGTAAATACATGTTAATTGCATACATACAGTGAAGGTATTGAAGTTACTTATTTAAAGAATATACAGTATGTTCCATCATTAAACAAAATCAAAATCACTTAAAATCAATACACACATAGAAAAAGAATCCAAATTGCTGAGAGATTTTTTAAAAAAATGTAACCTAGCAGTGTCATCTGCCACAATCTATGTCTGGTCCTTGATGTCAAGGATCAGACAGCAGTAAAGGTGGACATCCCCTTTTCCCTCAGGAACACTTTTAGTACAACACTGAACCAGCAGTGCCCTACAATCTATGTCTGGTCCTTGATGTCAAGGACCAGACAGCAGTAAAGGTGGACATCCCTTTTCCCCTCAGGAACACTCAACAGTGCCCTGTCTGAAACACTGGATGAGGTTGCAACTAGAGACAGGGAAATAAATATGAATATCCCTATCCCCGGTGCACCTAATGTGGATCAGGCCCTCGGAACCAGCCTGTCCACTCACATGTTGCTGCACCGCCAGCATTCTGCTCTTCCTGCCCATCATGGAAGTAGCTCTGCCGTCTCCCTGCTCTGCTGGCCACTCCAGGAGGGGGGGGCGGGTTGCAGGGTGGAAAGACAAGTCTTGGCTGCTGAGTGACCAGCCAAGCAGGAAGACGGCGGAGCTACTTCCACGATGGGCAGGAAGAGCAACCCGGGACCCTGGAGGTGGGGCAACATGTGAGTGGACAGGCCAGTTCTAACGGCCAGACCCTCATTAGGTGCACCTGAGACATATTTATTTATGAATACAAATATCCCTATCTCTAGTTGCAAGCATTTTGGTTTTCAGTGTATTCTCGAAGGCTTGATTTTCATCTGTGCTAAAAGTATTCCTGACAAATAATGGGAGTGGCTTCAGCTTCACCTTGTATTTCTCTTCATAGCATTAGGTCAAGAGCTGTCAACTTCCTGCTATAATAAAAATGTATTGAAAACAAGAAGGAGATGCTAATGGCTTGTGGAAACCACAGTAGACCCTAGTATCTGCATGCTGAGTACTGCTATCAGGCCTGTTAAGGAGCTAGGGATAGGCATCTTGATGGAACTCCAAGAAAATGCATGTTCTTGAATTGTTTTTATGCTTTTTACATAGGTTTAACAATTCTGCTGATCATGTAACATTATCTTTGTAACATGCATTTCCCCATAAATCTCTGTCTACTTATTCCAGGGAGCTGTTCTTAAACCAGAACTAAAACGCGATCCAGTCAGCACACGAGTAAAGTTAAAGATTGTCCCTCATCTTCTGCGTTCCAGGCAAGCTGCAGAAACATTTCCTGCAAATATTCAGGTAATGTTCTCTCCTTCACAGTGATGCCATTTTCATCTAGGTTGCAGCACATGGATAATTGTAGCAATAGCACAAGTGAATACCAAAATTTAGGATAACTTTTATACATACTCTTTTATTTTAGACCTTGTTTTTCACAAATGATTATTGATACTCATTAGAAGTTGAAAGGATGTTAATTTTTACTGGGATGTAGAAAATTTGAAAGGAAAACCTATGTAATCTAGCAGTGGGCTCCTCATCGTTGCCAGTTGAATCAATAAGATGTTGTTAAATCAGCACTTACCTAGTATCAGCTGATTCAGTGGATCTATGAAGTTGGTCTTGGAACTAATGAATTCGGGTTATGTTTACCATTGTAGGGGCTGTGATAACTGGAAGAGAATCTGAAATAATTCTAATTATTCTTATTCTGCTAGGTGGTCTATGATGGGCTGTTTGGTGCAAACACCAATGCAAAACTGAGAACCTTGTCTCTTCAATTTGTGCATCATATTTGTGTCATGTAAGTTATTGAATATTATTTATGGCATCATATGTACAAATGTAACCTTTATCAAGCTATACCTCAGTATTCATGGGGAATTGCATGCAGAATAGAGCCAGATGTAAGTTTATGTTTTGTGAAGAAGAGCCATGTTGGATCAGACCAGAGAGTAACACAATGAAGTTATGCCACTGGAAAAGAAGAAGTACTCTCTTAAAAAACGGCAGCAGTGAAAATAATAAAACCATTACAAGCATTATCATGTAAATATTTCCTTTTCATTGCCTGTCAGAAACCTTCTTTTTAAGTGCCTGTCAAAAGCTGCCCTTTTAAAAAATAAATTAAATTTTTATTCTTCTGTTTATTGAATTTCAGTTGCCCTGATAGTAAGATAAAGCCATTAGGCCCAATGCTTCTGAATGGACTAACAAAACTTATTAATGAATATAAAGAGGTGAGTTTAAAGGATCCTTCCAAACAGTGACTCTTTATCTGTGGTTAGTTGGTATTTTATTCAAATGAGCTATGGAATGTATAATGGCTAATACTTATAAAGAAAAGATGTGGAATGGGCAACACAATAGTCATCTGTGAGCAATCATATCCTAACTTTACTTATGGTATGTATATTTTAATGCACTCTGATACAGTTTGCTTGCTCTTTTTAAACTTCATAGTTTCTGCAGGTAGGGAAACAAGGCAGCAAACTGCATCTACCTATATACAGTATATCACAGAAGTGAGTCAACCCCTCACATTTCATAAATATTTTAGTACATCTTTTCATGTGACAACACTGAAGAAATGACACTTGACTACAATGTAAAGCAGAGAGTATACAGCTTGTATAACAGTGTAAGTCTGCGATCCCCTCAAAATAACACAACACATAGCCATTAATGTCTAAACCGCTGGCAACAAAAGCAAGTACACCCCTAAGTGACAATGTCCAAATTGGGTCCAAGGAGCTGTTTTCCCTCCTTGGTGTCATGAGACCCGTTAGTGTCACAAGTCTCAGGTGTGAAGGGGGAGCGGGTGTTATCGCTCTCACTCTCTGACTGGTCACTGGAAGTTCCACATGGCACC